GTTCCTCGGCCTCTAGCTTCCTCATTAGCCTCTATCGGGAAGATGTGAACCACAGGAAACAGTGTGTTTTCTCTGAACTACGGGAACCCGGGTGCATTTCATCTTCTTTGTACTCTAGTTTGGGGGACTGTTTCTTTCTTTGCTTTTTCCCTCCTCCTCCTCCTCATCTCTGCCTTCTTTTTCTTCTTTTTCTGCTATTAGCATGTGTCCAATCAAGGAAGGAAAAAAACATATCTTCATTTGGGGAGATAATTGAATCAGACAATGGTTTTTTAAAATATTCAAAAATGTGAGATACTTTGAAAGCCCTTCGAAAGGTGTGTGCGGAGATGCACGTGCATGTGTAGCTGGAACAGCATTTGGGAAACTCAGCCATTAGCCAAGAGTTTTCAATCCACCAGAGACACATGTTTAGAATCACATGATGTTTGGAGATTTAATCTCCAAAGATAATCACACGTTTGCCATCCTCTGTTGTATAGCTTGTCTCTTTAATGATATTTTCAAATGGCCCCATCTAGCTGGGATGAAATATTGCCACAGAGGGCGGTTAACTGCATCCTGTTATTCCCAATGGCAGCGAGCTTTATTACCACAAAATTAAGAGAGAGAATTTGCATATAAAGTTGGGCAACTGTCAGTGAGGTTCCCAATTTCCAATCCCAGCCCCCTTTCTTGGAAAATCCTATGCTTATGTGCGTTTCATAATCCTGCCTTTTGGGGACAGGGAAGTCCAGACGCTGAACTTGAAAAGCCCTTTTGCAGTTTCCCTGTGGCCCCTGCAGTGAGTTTTACTCTTGACAGCGCCTCCGCGCTTGTTTGCTGGACTCCACCCACACGTCTGATCCAGGAGGTTTCTCACCAGCTCCAGGGCCGGCACTGCGGGTTCCGCTCACAGTATGCTAACTTACTTACCAACCTTCGCTTCTCAGCTTTCGCATTGTACAGACGATACTCTTTAGGACATATTAAAAGGGCTGAATCACGAAGCATAGGAGGTTCTCAGGAGGAGGGTAACAAGAGTACATCTCCGTCATAACTTTCCCAGAGTTCTGGAAATGAGCAGAGACCATGAGGGACAGGCCTTAACAGAAATCTTGGCAGGACCAGTGAATATCAGACAGTTGGAACGAAGAAGCTCGGTAGACTGTCTCCTCTTTCTTCCCTTCCCAGTTGGTTTTTTGGGGGCTTTGTGTTTGTGGGGAGCACCCTAGAGTATGTTCTTCTAGTTACTTATTTTGCCCCTTTGAAGTAGGAGCAGTGAAAGAACATGTGGATAGCCAGAGGAGAGAGAAAAGTTAGATATTTTAAAAAGGAGTTGGGGCAAAGACCAATTTTTCAGGTGAACTTCAAGGATTGAAACAATATTGTTTTAATATGGAAATCAAGGAATGCCACTTCTGCAGGAACTAGCTAACAAGCCCCATGTGAGAGAGGGCCAAAGTCACCTGACTTTTCGTTCCTAAATTTGTGTGTATGCTAAATGGGCATGGGCAGCTAGATCTGCATATCTGACAGTGGTCCATTCAAATAATTATACATCCGCATTAGGAAATATTAATGTTCTTTGTGAATGATATTCCCAGTTAAAACAGTGAGGTTTTGAGTTCTGTTTACTTTAGCCATATATTCTTATTCTCTTATCACCAAATTTTATTTGTGTGTTTTCAAGACTGTTTCAGGTTCTCATTAGGAATTGATTCCTCTCTTGTGGAGGAGGGAAAGTAGAACAGGGAGACTTCTTGTTTCAATAGGAGAATACTTTGGAAGGCGGAGTGCTGTCTTAAGTGGGAATGAGTTGACTTAGGAGGAGGCAGGCTCCTCTTTCTGAATATGGAAAGGGATCCAACGTTGGTTGTTTCCAATGACAATTTCATGACCCACTGATCCTGCTGTGGATTCACGTTCTTTGGTAGTTGGAGTAATTAATCCCTGATGTAAAAGCACAAGAGACAATTAAGGTGGGAAATATTATTTTTTCACATGTGCGCACTTCCAGCCCTCCCCTCCCCTGTCCCTCTCACTCACGTCATCTGCTGTACTGGAGATGGCGGCAGCGGCATATGGCCTGAAATAAGTCTAGCGTCAAGAGAACAAGATTGAACTTTCAGTGCCCAAGATTTATGCATCAAAAATGTCTAGCTCCCCAAACATGTTTTATGAGAGTTAAAATGGAAGATATAGTTCCTGTGCCTCGGGTGGCAAACTGGCCATATGTCTGTGAGATTTACCTCCCCACAGGTGTCCCTGACATTTGCAAGCCTCTGGAATCGGGAGAGGTCTCCCCAGGGCTACAGTAGGGTCGCAGCCATGTCACAGGTACAATCATCACTATGATTACAGTGGGAATTCCAGCCTAACAGATTATGAGGTGGGGGAGATATTTAGGAAAAAAAGGAGCCAAGATATATGTGTTCATCACATAATTATTCAATAATCATACATCTTGTCAAGTAACAGAAATGGAACACTGCCTCAAAAGTTCTGTATGCACAATATCTTGTTGAATAAGTACTATAGTCCCTGCGTCAGAGGCCCCCGAGCAGCCCATTTCATCCACTATTCAGGGAGGCCATCCCGTGTAGACACAAAAGAAGGAGTGATTCCAGGGTCCGAAATCTCCATGATTATTTAGTTACCCACGGCTGGTCCACTCTTATCTTCTGTTGTCTTGTTTCTCATTTCTTATTATCCAGCTAAGGTGTATCATCAATGATTGATTTATACAGGCTCTTATTGTACTGACCATAAAATATAGCTCATTTTCTTACACTGACCAAACCACATATCTGTAGGGTGCAAGAAGCAACCTGTAGAAAATGTGTGATTTACTTCTGTGTCTCTGTTGCAAAGGCCCCCTTTCCTCTGGGAGAGAAATGGAAGCTGTGACCTGGCAAAAGGATTTCTATCGCACAGTCTTTCACAGGATGCGATGTCTTTGCTGTGAGCTGATTCATTGCAGGCTTTTTGTTTGCTTCTGGATGTCCACTGCCCTAGCACACAGAGACACTACTATTTGTCAAGCAAATATTCTATACTTTATTTTCAAATAAAAACGACTGTTTTCAAACAGCGTTTTTTTAGAAATCATGTTTTACTCCAGGAGAGAGGTTAAATCAGTATCTTTGTCACTTTTTGCCAACGGCAGCTTCTTATGGCGGCTCCTCAGGGGGACATGGTGGGCTCTTTCTGAACAGTTGTTTTTTCGTTTTGTTTTTCTGTTATAAAAATAAAGAAGTTCTTGATCTCAGCACACTCATTTAACCATTGAGTTGTTATAATAGTTTTGTTTGCCTCTGTTACTCACTTAATAATATTAGTAACATTTCCATGTCAGTTATGATTGCAAATCAATTAAGTTCTAGCGGATGATGAAATCAATCAAAGTAGCAACTGATTAAATAAAGTATCTTCTTGGTGACTCTTTACTATGGGGTGACAAAAAAATTGATACACATTTTAAGAGATGTTATGTGTATACATTTTTTGGCACTTTCTGTATTTTACTGGTGCAACTACCATATTTCCCCATGAATAAGACACACCCTTTTTTGAAAAATTTGCAATCTAAAAACTGGATGCGTCTTATACAGCGGCTGTAGATTTTTTTACTTGCATTTCCTGCAAGTGATGAGGAGTTGTATGAATTTTATGATAAATAAAACTTGAGTTCAATAACTTTATGTAATACATTTTTTTTCACATTTTGGGCCCCAAAATTAAGGTGCGTCTTATACATGGGAGCATCTTATACATGGGGGAATATGGTAATCTGTACCCTCTTGGGTATTAGAAAACTTTGCTATCATTTTTTCTTTAGAGACCTGTAATCTAGCTGCGGAAGCCAAATGTAAAGACACTGACGTTAAATAAGAACACCAGGTTGAAATAGAAGCTTCTGATAAAACCCGAGGGGTCACCTGCGGTATAGGACTACTGTGTAATTGAATAGTGAAGTGAAGTCTATGGCAGGATGTGTGATCTTACAGGGGTGTATGTCACCCCAATAACTGCTCAGAATGACTTGGTGGATCATACTGGCTGGGCCGTGTTCATGTTCCCTCCCACCACCTCACTTACCCTGCTCCACCTCACATGCTGAATTCTTCGGCCTGAGATGGAGCAGGACCAATCTTTTTACAAACAAGTAGCAATGCGTCCTGGTGTGCAAGATGAAAGAGCACGTGCGTCATAAGGGAGCAGGAAGGAGTTGGGACGATGACCTGGATCTTCAGCAAACTTGCTTAAGGTGGTCAAGTTTGGGAGGATGGAGTTTGAACAGCAAGGCACAGGGAGCACTCAGGATACAGTGGGATTGGAAAGGATGGCTGATCTGGGCAAGAGAGGCATCTACTTGTTATGATGATGATTTGGAAGTGACCAATCTGCCTAGAGGTGTCAACCAAGGTTGTAGGAATGAATTAGATCAACAAGGAAGAGAATGTAAAGAGAAAAGAATTGAGGCCTAACACTCGAGAGGAGGAGGAAAAAGAAGAGATGTGAAGGAGAAAAAAAGGACATCTGTATATTCATTGCTAAGAGGGATCTCAAATAGATTGAAAACTGGCAATGGTTTGGCCCACATGCTATGAAAATCAATACTTTTCATTAACAAAGTGCCTTGAAATTTGATTTGATCTTATTTGCAGACAGTATTACTTTTAAAAGGATATTTATGTTCCTAAGTTCAGGCGTAGGAACTAGCATTAATCAAAGATATTAGCTCATTTTAATTTTTCTTTGCTGCATTTATGCTTGAGCCAGTGAGACCATTTGGGGGTCTATCTATCTATATAAAAATCTATATATTGAGAAAATGAAAGAGAGATGTGTGGTTAAAAAAAAAGGAGTCCTTTTGGCAATTAAGTGGATGGTTGATTCCCTTAATATTCTAAGAGCAAACGTGGCCATCATTATGAATCACTGTGGTTGATGACTCTAATTCCTTTTAGTGCCATTCTAGCAGATGCTCACATTTCAATCCTCCACAGACAGATCAATCTTCGTCATTCCCTCATACATATTCCAGCGTCCACACTGGGGTTTCAGCGTGATGTACCGGCGAGAGGTGACAGCGTCACTTCTTTGTGAACGAGCAAAGCAGCTACCTGGGAAACCAGAGTAAGAGTCGAGAAATTGCTGTCCTTTGCAAAAGTGACAGTGACCACCAGGTACGTGTGCTCCTGGATGTTTGGATGGAATGGCACTGACGTAGTTACTTCTTGCTTCATGGAGGAATGTCCTCTATGGAAGAAGGGGCTGAGATCTTGGCACTAGTGTCTTTATGAGCAGCATTAAATTGAAAGTACCAGTAGTGCCAAGGAAGAAAGCCTTTCCAGTGTAGGTCACTGAGAATGGCTAGGTTTTGTGCTCTTGGAAACCACACACACACACACACACACACACACGTGCACACACAAAAAAAACACATACACACATGAACACACACATATACACATACACACACATACAGACACACACATACACATAAACACACACATGCACATAATGCAAAAAAACATACACACGTACACACATACACACACATGCACGCACACATAGAGACAAACAGACACACATATACACACACATACAGAAACATACACACAGAAACACATACACACACATGAACACACACATACACATACACACATACACACATACACACACATACAAACATACACATCAACACACACATGCACATAATACAAAAACACATACACACGTACGCACAGACACACATATACACACATACACACAGAAACACGTACACACAGAAACACATACACACACAAACACGCACATGCACACATACACACACACACACACACACACACTCACCCTGCACATACATGCCTGGTTTCTGATTATGACATTATGTGAGATTTGGGAATGAAGGGTGACAGAAACTGCCTCGGGAAAAATAAAAAAAAGTATTTGAGTGTCTTTCTGTGCAAACAACGCTTCTTGTATTAACCTGGTTCCTTGAAGAATTGAAAGGATTCCAACTGAAGGAAATTTTGCTATTCTTGGTTTACCTACCAGGATAGATGCCCAGCGAAGGGCCCACGGCCAGTTGTCTGAGTTTCCTGGGGCTGCTGTGAGGAAGTGCCCAGACCAGGTGGCTGAAGCCACAGAACCGTGTGCTCTGGCAGCTGTGGAGGCCAGAAATCCGAGATGACGATACCAGAGCCGTGGTTCCTCCTGAGGCTGTGAGGGAGCGTCCGTGCCGTGGCCCCCCGGCTTCCGGTGGCTTGCTGGCGATCCTTGACGTTCATTGGCTCCCGCTTCTTCCTGCCATCTCTGCCTTCGTCTCAGCCTGGCATTCCCTCTGTGCAAGTCTGTGTCCAAATTTCCCTCTTTCGCAGGGACACCAATATTTGGGCAGGGTCCCACTCTACTCCACTATGACCTCCCCTTCATGCATTATGTCTGCAGTGACCCTATTTCCAAGTTCCATCACTTTCTGAAGCATTGGAGGTTAGCATTTCAACATAGGAATTGGGGAGGGACACAATTCAGCTCAAAACACTCTGCCCCCTCCCCAAATTCATGTCCTTCTCATATGCAAAATACGTTCACCCCATCTTATCATCCCCAAGTGTTTCCAGAGATGGCTGCACCGTGTCTCCCGTTCTACTGCATTTTTGCAATTTGACCTTGTCGTTTCCACATTATGAGGTAGACTCGTTTTCACCTCCTTTGAATCCAGGCTGCTCCTGAGCTGTTGGAATCCACAGAATGTGGTGGGGAGGATGCTATGTAACTTCTGAGCAGGGCCCTGTGAGATCTAGAGTTTCTGCACCCACCTCTTGGAATGTCCTTTCCTGGGACCCAGTCTCCATGTTGTGAAGCTCACGATGCCACGTGGAGAAGCCTTCATGGAAGACTTCACACAGCCTTGCTGAACTGAAGCCAGGGGTCCAGACTCATTGCCAGCCGAGTGAGTGGGAACATGCTGGAAACTTCAGCTATCACAGCACTTTCTACAATAGCCACCACATAAAGCAGAAGCACTCTCTGGTCACACAAAGAATTATAACTTATAATAAATGGTTGTTTAAGCTACAGTATTTTGAGGTGCTTTGTTAAAGAGCAATAGAGAATTGAAATAGAATATGGGATTACAACATAGTCATAAGGATATAACGCATAGCATAGAGAATATACTCAGTAATATTACAACAGCTATGTAGGGTGTCAGGGGGTGCTAGACTAGCTGGGGATCACTGCATAGATTACATAAATGTCCAACCACTATGCCATACACCTGAAAATAATATAAAATAATATTGAATGTCAACTGTAACTGAAAAACAAATTTAAAAAAAAGAATATAATGAACAGCTTAGAGCTCTATAACCAGTAAAAATACATTTTAAGGTAAAAGTGAAGTAGAAGCATTTTCAGACAAAAATGGTGGAGTGCTTCAATTACAAAAAACCTAAACCAGATGGTGTTGGCTTCGAAGGAGGGAAGTCTGAAGGGTGGCGCGCAGGCTGCTGGTGCAGAGAGGAAGGGCAGCCTGGGAAAGTGGTGACGCGCATCCTGCGACTGTACAACATTTGCAACGTAGGAGAATGAGCGAGACCCAGCGAACGTGTGTGTCCAGCTAAGGACGTCCAGGCAGAATGGTGAAAGTGCTGACAGGCATCTTAAAGCTCTCAACGACAAAGTGTGAGGAGAGAGATGGATTTGAAAAGGAACTGTTGGATTTTTAAGGAGAATTCTAAGGGAACGTTCCAACATGGGTCTTGCAAGATTGGAAAATAAAACTACCTCTCCTTTCTGGCCTGTCCAGTTGGCAGGTGTTTCTCAAGTAGAAGGTGACGGGCAAAGAGCAGACAGAAGCTGCCAAGAACACAGCCTCAGGGTTGAGGTGAAGTCAAGGACATGGGCATGAAACCCTTTGTGAAGATCTCAGGAAGTTTTAAGTGGTGCTCTTTGCTCCTAAACTGGACAAAATTTCTTCTCAAAATCTTTAGGATGTTTTCCTACAGCTCCCTGACACACAGCCCAGCTCTCACAGGAATATGTGGCCCAACCTTTGTGCAGTGAGTTGGATTTATAATGTTATACACTGGAATCCCATCAAGTTGTTTAAGGAGCTGTATCAGTTTGGGCTGAAAGGAACAAAGTCCAAAATGGAGAAGCCTCCTTTTGCTCTAATATTTCGAGGGCCATCAGAAAGCTGTTCTGTTGCAAACACAGGCCGTTTCTTCCAGAAAAGGAAGGGAGATTCAGAGGGTGGAGCCCAGAGTCTGAAGCGAGAAGCCAAATGCTGAGTAGAACTCCTCCCAGTGAGAAGACCCCCGTCTTCTTCAGGGAGACTGAAACACACATGGCTGGATTTCAGAACAGCTGTGTATTTGCTTCCCATTTACCATGTTTTCCCGCGTATAATGCATTCCTGTGTTTTTGGCCTAAACTTTCAGGGAAACAGAATTAGTGCTATGCAGATATAATGTGCATCCTTATTTTTCCCTCACAAATTTGGGTAAAAGAATGTGCATTATACACAGCAAAATACAGTATCCCTCTTTGATTTGGGGTGTCTAGTGCGCTTTCCTGTCCCTATCTCCCATGGACATTGTGTCTTGTCTATGACCTGTGTTTGTAACTCATGGGTCTCCCTACTTGAGGGGCCCCACAGAGGAGTCTTGTAAGCACCTGTGCCTGACTCAGACTGTGGCGGAGCCTGATGACGTAATGGGGTGAGAGTTATGAGGTCTTGGGGGTGGTGAGTGTATTTCAAATGTCAGACGATGCAAATAATTTGTGGCTAGAGGATGCTTTCTGGTAGATTAAAGATGGCTGCAGATTCTTGCTACTCCCCTGATTGAGAAATAGCGTCTATTTTTGTCCCCTTGGATTTGGTCCTGCCTTCTGCCTGGATTTGGCCATAGACTATAGTGAAAGGACACCGGGGAACTCTCATGCTGGGTCTCCCTCATACCTTCTGCCTTAGCTCCTCTTAATTCTTTCCTGGGATCCGGCCACCGTCTGGTAGAGAGAGGGAGAGGTCCCCAATGTGCAGCCTCCCCTCCAAGGCGACACGTGGGAGTGAAGCCATGTGAACACAACTCCATGATCTTGGCCAGTTTCTCACAGGGCCAGAGCGTGAATGCCAGGCTGGGCCCTGCCTGACCCCACAAGGCATAGTCGTGAACACATGGATGACAGTTGTTAAGAGCTGCAAAGTCTGGGGAGCAGTGTGTTACTCAGGACTGGGTAGACCAGAGGGCCACTTTGAGGAGACCCTCCAGTGGGCTCTCGTCACGCCTTGGCTGTTGTTTGCTGATTAATTGTTTTGAAAACTTCAGATATATTAAGCACGATTGAAATGTAGATTTTAAATATGCTTAATTAAAATAAAGGCAATATGCTTACATGTAATCAAATTGAATTCTATAGCATACATACAATGAACTATCAAAAACTGATTAATTTCCCCAACATTTTACTCTGGTTCTGTTAAATCTGCATTTTAACTAAAACTGTAAATTTGACTTTATGATTTAACCAAGATCATATTTAATGGAAATAGACAGATAATCAAAATAATAACTTTAGAATGATATATCAAGAGTGGTTCACATCGTGGGAGGTCGACAGCCTGTGACCCTCACTGGCATCACAACCTTTTATTTCTTGTTTTCATTTGTCATCCTGTTTTTTATTTACAAAACAGTGTTTACTGTGTGCTGTGTATTGAAAGTTTTGAAAAGAACTATGAAGTACAAAGAGAAAAAAGGGAACATTTTTAAGTAAACACAAATTTAAAACGCCAAAGTCTTTGAAATTTCAAATAATTTTCCCTCACTCCAAACCCATAAGCTCTAAATTAGAAGCCGTGCGAGACATGAGCTTCTTATTTGAGTACTTGGCTGATCACAGGTTTTCTTCCTCTTTTCATGTTACCTGATTTTCATTTAGGGAGCTGTGAGCTCTACCCACCGTTATTACCAAAATGGGTTTTGAGTCTGCATCTAAATAAAGCATTACCCACTGCTTCTCTGAGGAAGATGGAATACATATTATCAAAATGTCTTGGCTGAATAAAGGAAAGTAAAAGCTGGTAATAACAATACCGGCATATTTCTCTCTTACTCAGGCGAGAGAATCATTCTTTCCCTTCAGAATTTCCTCCCTCCATGGGCAGCTGTAAGGAAAGCCCCCTTCGAAGGTCCAGTCAGCCTGCAGAGGAACCAGGGGCTGTAAGGAAGAGCTGCCTAAGAGGGTTGTCAGACAAGACAGGTACACCTGTACGCCACAATTGGCAGGCTGTTGGAATTTCTGTAGATAATTGCATTACACGGACTCCTAAAATGTCAGACATAAAATAATAAACAGGACCCGGGATGCGGCTTTCTTTCTAATCGCATAGAGCCATCTATGGAGCAATTCTATTCCTCTGGCTTCTGTCGGAATGGTGCCTTCCGTCAGCAGCTCTTTACTTCACAAAATACCGCACAGGCAAGCGTTTTCTTCTCTCCACAGTATTAATTAAATTACATGAAACTGGCAGTGGTTAAATTCTAGCATCTGTACTGTCTCACTTAATTACACCCCTGGACTCCTTTCAAAATTCTTTCATTTGCTATAGGGACATCTGTTGGTGAAAGGGGGAAAATCAGATAGGAGCAATGCAGTGCAATTCGGGGTTCCTTATCGGCCCCAAGCCCAGCTGCGCAGAGAGGGTTCTTTCAGTCTGTCTGTTGGGGGCATTCCTGCTCAGGTGCCGAACGGCTGTGACTAAACAGCAGAGGGAAAAAGCCACCATGACAGGGGCTTGCTGGGAATTAAGGATATTTTAGTGTTGAGCCTCATCAATAAAACATTTTTCAACATTCTTTTAACTTCTTTTCAAACCGATACAAGACTACTGTAAAGTGGAATACATCCTACCATGCCTGATTTTAGCAAAAACTACATGCCAAAGAAGAGTTTCCTGAAAGCTTGGGCAAAGGGGAACTGTCCAGAAGCTTGCGATGAGCATCCTTTTCAGCGTGTTGGAAGCCAAGGTCAGCGCAGGGGAGCCCCGCCTTCCATGCATGGACAGGGCGGGGCCAAACACACAGGACAGTCACCAGGCAGATGAGCTGGGTGCCCGACTGAGGTGCTCAATGAGGAGTTACTGCCATTGGGGGGGGTGTGGGGGGGGGCAAAGATGCGTGATGCCCACAAGACTTTTTGGCAAGTTCTTTCTCATTTTTTTTCAAACTGATAGGTCCAAAATCAAAGTAGTTTCTTTCTCAGATCTATTTCTTTTATTTACTTTTTCCTTTTGTCTTAATGAAGGGCTATCATCCAAACCAGAAATTTGCGATCAGCTTTGGGCTCTCTCCTCATCTCCTGCACCTGACCCCTAATTTCAGCGTTGCCGCCTTACATGCCCCCTTGTCACTGTCACTGCCAGCGCTGGCCTTGGTGCTGTCTCTAGATCAGGGATCTCTTGGCTCTTTCCCCACATCCTGAACCTGCCACAGTGATCTTTCTAAAATGTGCACCCTGCGTGTTTACTCCTCAGTAGCTCCAAATTGCCTCCACAGTAAAATCCACACTGCTTAGCATGGAAATGGAGGTCCTCCCGGATCCAGACCGATTCCCTCATCAGCCTCATTTCTCTCTCTATTAAATTGTTCACTGTTGTCGAACCACTGGAATGGGGTCTGTGAACTCCAGTTTTAAAACGATACTTACGTTCTACTGAGAAAACGCAGTGCTAAAGATGTTGGATATGTTCTGTAGAAAAACAGTGAAGAGAGAAAAATCTTAGGTTTGATTAGAAAACAAAACGTTGCTAGATCTAATGGAAATGGGTTGCTCTTTGAACGAACATGAGCACATGTCACAATTCAGATAATACTGTCAGTCATCAAGCAGCTGAAAAGTTTATACATCTGCCTTCTATTCAGCAAATAATTAATGAATGCCAGCAATATAACAGGCAGTGCTTCATGCACAGGCCACACGGAGCTGAGACGCAGTTCCAGCCTTGCACGAGCTCACAGTCTAGTGCAGGAAAAGAAGAGAAAAACTACGTGAGACAGTGTGGTGAATGTAGA